GTACATGCTGAGCTCCCCCACTGTGTCTGTAAGTCTTTTATATGTAATGTCTCCTCTTTGTGGCCTAGAACAGGATGAGAAGAAGAAAGGGATGGGACAGAGGCCAAGGAGGCCAGGACCAAAAAAGTGGCAGCAGGAGCGGAGACGAGCCCCACGCGGGTGTGGAGGGTGCACAAAGGCGGCCACTTCGACACCCCATCACCAGTCTGGCTGCAAACCTTCTCCTGAATGTTCCACATTTCTACAGGAAATGAGAAGCAGGGCCTGGGGTGGGCAGGGAGCGGGGAGGGTCCACTCCTCAGGGTACAGAGCAGCAAAGGGGAGCAGTAGGGGAGGGCGGACAATCCTGGGCAAGGTCAGCTGGAAGGACAGGGAAGCTGGGAAGCCTGCTGGCTGGGTCGGCCGTTTCTCAGGACCCCTAACTGGGATGAGCTAAGGTCCGCTTACACTGATGGTGCATTCTGCATGCCACCACTCCCCAGGCCCAAGCACGTGACAACCTGAGCCCTGGATTCAAGACACATGTACTAAATAAACAAACTGATGAATTAATTTGGTTTGATTTTCTCTTACTTTCTTTTCACTTTAGCCAGTTGCTCATCTAGTAGCCTACGTATCATTTATGAAGATACTGAACACTTAAATTGTAGGGGAAAAAGCATATACCTGACAGGGCATCTGCCTCCATCCCTCCTATGAATGCCCAAGTGCCGTGCGTGAGTATCGCAGCAACTGTCCAGACTCCCCTGCCTGCCCCACGCTCTCACACACACACACACACATTCACACTCACATCTCAACTGCTCACTGAAGTCCTTTGTCATTTTTCCCCCTCCAAGGCCCTGTGCCTGTCATCACATCTCCTTCAAACCCTAGTCACTATTTAAGAACAGTCACTAATGTCTTCCTGGCCAGTCTCTATGCTCTGGATCTCTCTCACTTACCTACTCAGAGCCCCACTAAATCCTCACCAACATTATAAGGTTATCATTTAACAGTCCTGGATAAAAGAACACTAGTTTTTTTTTTCTCTCTCTAATTTTTCTCTCTATAGATTACTGGGGAAACACCAGCACTCCAATTTATTCATTATCCCCGCTGCTTCCCCACTCTTGAAATTAGGATGTGCTCAGATACAAGAAAGAGACTATATGGATAACAATGGCTTAAACCATCGTTTATCTTCTTTAAAATTCCTAATAAAGTAGTCCCAGAGTTGCTTTGGCTGTTCAGCAATGTCAAGAAGGACCAAGACTCTTCTCATCCTCCTACTTCATCATCCTTATCATGTTGAAATTAATTTTTCAATATCACCTCATGGTTGTAAAATGGCTCCCAGAGTTCCAGACATCACATCTTCACGTGGCAGTGCCCATACAGGAAACATGTGGTTGAGGTAAAAAAAAATTAAATTGCTGTCTTTCATGGGCTCAACCTCTTTATACAAGAGGTGAATTTTTATCAAAAGCACAGAAGATACCTTTTTAGCTTTCATTGGTCCCTGTCCAACCTTAGAACAATATTGGTAAAACAAGCCCTAGCCTTTCATGGATTAACTCAGTGCACACGGATGCATGTCTGCCAAAACAAAACTGGAGTGCTTCAGAGTAAGGAAGAAGGAAGCCGGCTGTGGAGCAGGCAACTAACTTGTCTGCTGCACATCACCAAGAAGGTTTTGAGAAATGTGACACTGGACATCTGGGTTTCTTTGATCTATCCTCTCTCCATCCCTCCCTCCCTTCCTTTCTTTCTCCCTTCCTCTACCATGGAGCATTTAAGCAAAATAAAAATGTGGCATAGTTCTAAGAGCAAGTTCTATTTACCCCTTCTCTGTATAGTCTAGTTCCTTAATAAACACAATAAAGAAAGATATTTCTCTTTAAGAAACTGTAGAAATATAAACCAGAATAAAGAAATAGCTGAGTTCCTGAAGTGCTGTACAAACCGCATCATACTTCCTTATCTACTTTGCTATTTCAGCTCTGCTTCATTTAATTCTGGGATGCTCAGTTGCTTCAATGGATAGTCAATGCTGTAAATTAAGTTCCCCAGCCTCTCAATCCATCAGGAAGCATTCTGCTCACCATTTATTCAGGGCCTGCTGTCTCTGAACACTGGAGAACAGTTGCATGTGTAAAGAAACCCTGAAAATTCCAGAAAGAAATATTTCATAATGGAAGTACCTCTATAAAATGGTTTGATTTTTCAGGGATGGAGTTTTCTTAGAGCGAGGTATGTCAGTCTTTCAAACCGTACACCGTTAAATGCCAACTATGTTCCTCCTTTATGTTCCTATCAATCTAATACCCCCCACCTCAGGTTTTTTTCCTTTCCCTTTTAATAGTGACTCTATTTATCTGAATCTATCCATTTATTCCTCATTTTTCAAGTTTAAACTAACAGATGGAGACACAGATTACTTCCAAACATCTGCACTGAAATGCTTTACCTGCAACTCCCGCTGTGAGTAAAAGAGGTTTTAATTATACGATATTTGAAAATCTCTCTCGCAGGCACTGTAAGTGGAAGTTTTCAGCGTAAGAACTGGGTATCACCAAGGCTCTCACTGTTAGGTACACTCACGTCCCAAACAAATCATACATCCCCCTGTGTCAGTGTTGTAAATAGACCCTTGATGTAAACGATAGTTTGGATATCATGGATGTCTGTGATATTCACAGTTCGTGGGCCATTACATGGGTCGTACGACAGCCAAAAAACTAATAAAAACTGATGATGCTTGTTATTCGCAGGTATTCTCAAAGAGGCCATTACCTAGAAAGACTCTAGAGAGACGAAAGCATGGCCATAAAGCGTATGACTCTACTTCTGCTCACACAATAATGAGATTTTGGTCGCATCTGGGTATTAGGTTAGTGAGTTTTCCTGATAATCCCCCAAACTGAAGTTAGCGAGTACCTATTACCCGCAGCAGCCGTGGCTGCACCGCGCCTGTGCATCCTACCTTTCTTTTCAGACGCTCCTTCTTTTCCTCTGCCCAGCCCTGGATGCTGGAATCCGCAGCCTCCCAGTCCAAGTGCCATCCTCCATGGGAGCCTCGTCTAAAGGGTAACTTCACTATCACCTAAATACAATGAATCCTTCCTCTGGGTCTACATTTCCAGCCTGCTCATCTCCTTTGGGTTTTAGGGCCATGCCCCTGCCTTCCTTCTAGGTAATACCTATATATTCAAGGATTAGCCTAGACTCAGACAGACCTGGACTTAACCTTTTACCCTGTAAGCATATTTCTATGGTCATTATCTGGATTAGAAGCATCGTAATGAATTTAATAAGCTAGGACTAGAAACTTCAATTACCCTACACGCCTCCAGCTCCCTTAACCACCCTCTGAAGGCATTCACAAACACCTGAAGTGTCCACTCTGCAATCATTCATTTTAGTTCTCCCCATCACAGGTCTAGTTCAACTCATCACTCTTAATATGGGCTTGGCAAACACTTTCAGAACCTGTCTCCTTGCTTCTGATCATGACTATAGCCAAAACATCCTCTAGGCTCCACTTCACTTGACAAATATTTACTGAGCATTTCAGTGAGTCATGCTCTGGGATGGGCATTCAGTAAAGAGTGCTGAGCAAATCGAAGATCCCCTCCTTAACAAACCCAGACTCCAGCTCAGGAGAGAAGGCTGCAGTCAAGTAAGCAAATAAATAACCCATGGCGGGTATCTGGGTAAAGAGTAACTGTGGGGGGGGCACTATGCATTTAGCGTGGTCACTGAGCAGGTGTCATTGAGAATGTTAGACCTCCAGGAAGGGAAGAGGCCAGCGACAGAGTCGAGGAGAAAAGCACAGCAAAGATTCGAGGCAAGAAGATGCTCCAGAGTCCATGGTGACCAGACCACGTGGGAGCGTGTCTGCATCCAGGTGAGTAGAAGTGAAATCACCAAAGCCACAATCACAGGTCTGAACCCAGTGTGAGGCATTAAGGAAAGTCAGGGAAAGGTTTGAGGCAGAGGAGTAACATGATCTGATTTACATTTTTAACAAATCACCAGAATTATGTTTCACAAGGAGAGTCAGTGCTCCGAGTCAAAAAGGTTGACAGCTCCTGATGAATAAGGTGCCCACGTGCTCCAGTTTGTCCAAGTGCATCCTGGTTTTCCCCGCTGTCCTCGTGTAATTATTACAGTCCCCCTTTCACTCTCTTGAAGGGTCCTATGGAGATCACACATGGTCTGGCCAACTTACTGACAGAATATTCCTTAGGCTGACGTTCAAAGCCCTTCTGAACCTGGTCCCGACTCCCCTCTCTTCCTCTCTCCCCCACCAGACCTCTACCTAATGGTGTTCTGGTCTGAGATGTGCTGCTGGCAGCACAGAATGGGACACGTATCCTCACTGCTGTTCCCTGGCTGGCACTCCTGCCCCTTGCTGCACACTCTGACCATCTCACTAGTGGACAGACCCCTGAGGGCCAGACCTGAAAAGCCTTTCCAGAAATTGGGCAGAATGAATCCTCCTGTGCACTCTGTCACTATCTCTATTACCAAGTTTATCACAACTGGGTTAACTGTGTGTAGGTCTGCTTTCCCTGTTAGAATGGTAGGTACTTCATGGTAAGGACAGCATCTCCTTCTTTGTATTTTTGGGTCCTCACCACCCACTGCATGCCTGGTTGACAGCTGGTACTTGACTGTGAGATGAATTATTTCATATAAAGACAATGTAAACTACAGAGTAAAAGAATAAGGTTGAACAATGTGATTTTAAAATTAATTTCTTCAGTAAGCTTAAGAATCTCTGCCTTCATATCTTGACAAGTTTCATACTCCAAGTTCACCCTCATGTCTAATACAGCCCCATACATCAGAAAGTGACAATCAGCTTCTAGTGAATAACTAGAAGTGAAAAATCTTTACAGGGCAAGAAGAAGTAGTGGAATTTTAGGAAATGAAACCATCTGGTGTTTTTGTAATAAATTTCTAAATAACTGCGAAGACTGAAATATTACCAACAGGCAATTTCATGTACTCACCACTCTCAAATGATCCTGAACAGATCCTGCTCAGAAGAAGTTTTTGACGTAACTGCAGAACTTCAGCTTCCAAGGCTTCAACTTTTGATCTCCACTTCGATTCCTGCCCAGACACCATCCTCGCAAGATGCTCTGTGTATTCTCTGCTGCTTTTGTCTGCTGGTTTTGAGCGGATAATTGCCAAGGCCAGAGCCAGCTTTGCAGTCCTCAGATACCATGCTTGACTGTGATCATCCATCCTGGCTTGTGCCCCTAGTGTTTAGTAAGAAAACAAGTTACAGGAGTCCCTTTTAACTTCTGCAGTGCATTTCATTTGCTCGAAATTGATTTTGCAGTGAGTATCACTAATTAATAAGTTTACAACACAACAGGAAGCCAAGTAACAGAACAATTTCTCAGGAACTGAAAACAGCAGAAAAAAATATGCAGAAGAAAAATGCATACCTATGCACATGAAGTGTATTAAGAGTCAAAACAGCAGATTTGGATAATGTGACAGATTCTTGGAATGCAAAAAACACACATTAATTCATTTAGTAGCTTCTAACCAGAGACACACATCAGACTCTGAGAGAGGTTTTAAATATATATATATATATATGTGTGTGTGTGTGTGTGTGTGTGTCTCTGTGTCTGTGTGTGTATGTGTATATATATACATATGTATATATATATGGTCTCATCCCTCCAAAATTCTGATTCAGCAAATCTGGGGGAGAACTGAGGCTTTTATATCTTGTCCAAAGTTTACTGTGTAATCAGAATCACTAAATAAAACTGTTTAAATGTCAGTCCCTCTCCTCCTCAAATCCATTCTGCTACCTCTAGGAGCCCCTGCTCCCCAACCCTGCATTTCTCAGTGCACCCTGACCCACTCTTCCTGCCTCTAATCAGGCCCCTCCAATCTATACATAGAACAATCTTTCAAATATTTGCATCATCTAAGTTGTGACTCTGCTCT